CCCTTTTTCCCCCCCCAGGGGCTTTTGGAGGATACCCTTTTGCTGTGGATGAGAAGCATTTTATTGTCATCCTTGTGTTGAGTTTTATTGACATTTTTATAGTTTTTGAGACATCTGCTACACTTAGCCTGCGCACTCTGCTCTGTTTGCTTGCTGTTTTAGAGAAACCTTTAGTAGAGGTGCTGCGTGAAGTCTGCTTGATTTATGACACCATGGACTTTACATTCTAAGAACTTGTCCAGATGACTCATTTTTCTTGAACTGTCTTTCTATTGAGTCCACCCCTTCCCAGCTACACCTCTGCGCCATATTGCTCACACATTGTTGACCATTTTAATACCTGTGTGATGATGCCACATCTGCTGTGCTCCATGATTTGGCTGGAGTTGAGCTTTAAGAGGCTACAATGGTGTTATATCGTAAAAAAAAATTTTATGTAAAAAAAGCCGACTATACTCAGAAGCATAAGACGTACATAAGAAACAGATGCCAAAGCCTCGAGTATCAGCATGTATATGACATCACCAGCTAGGCTCCACCCAACATGTTTCGCCACTAATCAGCATCGTCAGGAGAAATGAGCATTGTGGTTTGTTAGCCTTTTTGTATTGAGAAGATTCACAAGTGTATATTGTATTGCATTGCTGTAAATGTATGTCACTCATAGGATACTTTCACCGCCTCCTCAGCAGAATGTGACAGAAACCAGAAGGAATCTTCTTGTGCAATAAATAAATATTCCCTCTGGAGAGGAAGATCAAAGGACCACAATGGCGATATAGCGTAAAACAATTTTTATTTAAAATATTCAGACATATACTCACAAACATAAGAAGTATAGGAGCACATAAGAAACAGGACACCAAAGCCTCAAGTATCAGCATGTATATAACATCACCAGCTAGGCTCCGCCCAACATGTTTCGCCACTAGTCAGCATCATCAGGAAAATGAACATTGTGGTTTGTTAGCCTTGTTGTATTGAAAAGGTTCACAAGTGTATATTGTATTGTATTGCTATACATGTATCTCACTGATAGGATACTTTTACCGCCTCCTCAGCAGAATGTGACAGACACGAGAAGGAATCTTCTTGTGCAATAAATAAATATTCCCTCTAGAGAAGAAGATCAGAGGACTGCAATGGTGTTTATATTGTAAAACAATTTTTATTTAAAATAAGCCGACCTACATAAGAACATAAGAAGTACAGGAGCACACAAGAAACAGACACCAAAGCCTCAAGTATCAGCATGTATATGACATCACCGGCTAGGCTCCGCCCAAGATGTTTCGCCACTAGTCAGCCTCGTCAGGAGAAAATGAGCATTGTGGTTTGTTAGCCATTTTGTATTGAGAAGATTCACAAGTGTGTATTAAATTGCTATAAATGTACTGTATGTCACTGATATGATACTTTCACCGCCTCCTCAGTAGAATGTGACAGACACCAGAAGGAATCTTTTTGTGCAATAAATCGATATTCCCTTTGCAGAAGAGGATCAAAGGACTGCAATGGTGTTATATTGTAAAACAATTTTTATTTAAAATAAGCCGACCTACATAAGAACATAAGAAGTACAGGAGCACACAAGAAACAGACACCAAAGCCTTGAGTATCAGCATGTATAGGACATCACCAGCCTGCTCCACCCAACATGTTTCGCCACTAGTCAGCATCATCAGGAGAAATGAACATTGTGTTTTGTCAGCCTTTTTGTATTGAGAAGATTCACAAGTATACATTGCATGGCTATAGAGATGTGCACCAAGTGTACGTTTAGATTGTTATAAGGTTATTATTCAACCTTTTTTGGAGTAGCACTCTTTTTGGTTTTTGTGTTTACTAAGCGCAAAATTTTTTTTATAGATATTTGAAAAAAAAAAAACGGTGCTCAAATACCCATGTGACAAAATTGCAACGCCCACCAATTTATTCTCTAGGGCCTCTGCTTTGAAAAGTATATAATATTTGGGGGTTCTAAGACATTTTCTAACAATAAAAAATATTGATTGTAAAGAAAAAGTGCCAGAAAAGGCCTGGTCTTCAAGTGGATATATTTGCATTGTAAGGCTTTGCTGGGCAAATAGGTAGACCAGGCAGCAAATAACATGTTGGATGTACAATTAAACTGTGTGGCAATTGTTGTTTCTTACAGAAACCAGCACCTTCCCTTATCACGTATCTTATCGCGGCTGTGGCAATAAAATACTCTGTGATGTCCAGCAAATTTTTTGTAAATACGATCATCGAAAATAAGGAAATTCAACTGAAAATTGATTATACCTGCGAAAGTAGTAAGTTACTAATAGATTTCATTGGACGTATGGATGACTGCTCTTTATTGTGACTCTCTTGTGATGGACAAAACATTTGCAGAGCTGCAGCTGTTGAAATAAACTTCCAGCTGAACTACAAGCAGATATAAAAGAACACAACCCTATAATCCTTAAAGTGTTACTGAACCTCGGACCCTGCATTCACTATATCTGGTCTCCCCGGACCCCGCATTCACTATATCCGCTCTCTCCCCAAACCCTGCATTTACTATATCCGCTCTCCCCGGACCCTGCATTCACTATATCTGATCTCCCCGGACCCTGCATTCACTATATCCGCTCTCCCCGGACCCCGCATTCACTATATCCGCTCTCCCCTGACCCTGCATTCACTATATCCGCTCTCCCCGGACCCTGCATTCACTATATCCGCTCTCCCCGGACCCTGCATTCACTATATCCAGTCTCCACCGGACCTTGCATTCACTATATCCTCTCTCCCCGGACCCTGCATTCACTATATCCGCTCTCCCTGGACCCTGCATTCACTATATCCGCTCTCCCTGGACCCTGCATTAACTATATCTGGTCTTCCTGAACCCTGCATTCACTATATCCGCTCTCCCCGGACCTTGCATTCACTATATCCACTCTCCCCGGACCCCGCATTCACTATATCCGCTCTCCCCGGACCCTGCATTTACTATATCCGCTCTCCCCGGACCCTGCATTCACTATATCTGATCTCCCTGGACCCTGCATTCACTATATCCGCTCTCCCCAGACCCGGCATTCACTATATTCGGTCTCCCCGGACCCTGCATTCACTATATCCGGTCTCCCCGACCCGGCATTCACTATATTCGGTCTCCCCGGACCCGGCATTCACTATATTCGGTCTCCCCGGACCCTGCATTCACTATATCCAGTCTCCACCGGACCCTGCATTCACTATATCCGCTCTCCCTGGACCCCGCATTCACTATATCCTCTCTCCCCGGACCCTGCATTCACTATATCCGCTCTCCCTGGACCCTGCATTAACTATATCCGTCTCCCCGGACCCCGGCATTCACTATATTCGGTCTCCCCGGACCCGGCATTCACTATATTCGGTCTCCCCGGACCCTGCATTCACTATATCCAGTCTCCACCCGGACCCTGCATTCACTATATCCGCTCTCCCTGGACCCCGCATTCACTATATCCTCTCTCCCCGGACCCTGCATTCACTATATCCGCTCTCCCTGGACCCTGCATTAACTATATCTGGTCTCCCTGAACCCTGCATTCACTATATCCGCTCTCCCCGGACCTTGCATTCACTATATCCCCGGACCCTGCTCTCCCCGGACCCTGCATTAACTATATCTGGTCTCCCTGAACCCTGCATTCACTATATCTGTTCTCCCTGGACCCTGCATTCACTATATCCACTCTCCCTGGACCCTGCATTTACTATATCTAGTCTCCCTGAACCTTGCATTCACTATATCTGCTCTCCCCGGACCCTGAATTCACTATATCTGGTCTCCCTGAACCCTGAATTCACTATATCTGGTCTCCCTGAACCCTGCATTCACTATATCCGCCTCCCCGGACCCTGCATTTACTAAATCTGGTCTCCCTGAACCCTGCATTCACTATATGTGCTCTCCCCGGACTCTGCATTTACTATATCTGGTCCTCCCGGACTCTGCATTTACTATATCTGGTCTCCCTGAACCCTGAATACCCTATATCTGGTCTCCCCGAACCCTGAATACCCTATATCTCTAGCAATACACACCAAACTGAACATGTGCAGAGTGTCTCCACACAAAATGTCTTATCAGAAGATAAGAAGTCAGGATCAAACAGCCTTTTTACACAATGAGAAGGATTAACCCCTTAAGTTCCACAGTGAGTATAACAAGCATGCTTTACTGCATATACAGACTGATTTTAACGTTGTGGGATTCCTAACACTTTAAAGTGTTTGCAAAGCAAAATACATAAAAGCGTCCCCATCTCTTTAAGGGAGGCTAAGCTGCATATTGATCTTTCATTGTTGTTTAGTCTGTGCAATATTTTACAATACCAGGTTGATCCTGCCTGTTCCTATATTTCTCTCTGAAAACTGACCATGCTAATCATGACTGCTGATCCATGATGACATGGTCAGCTTACGTCCTTCTGGCTCTCTCCTTAGCGTGCCTGTATCTCCCTCTCTCTCCCTTTCATTGTGGTTCCCATGGACAAGGGGGGCATTACCATAGGAATCACTTGGGTGATTGGAGAGGAGCACCTGGTGTCCAGAAAAAGTCTTAGTTGATGATTTCCAGAAGAATTGCCTCCCCCCTTCTTTAGATCTGTATTTCTTGGAGAATGGTTAAAGTGGAGTTCTGGCCACTGCCACCTCCCCCCAAAAAAATTAAAAGTCATCAGCTACAAAAACTATGACTGACTTTTAATAGTAGGGCACTTATCTGTCCAGCATCCAGTGGTGTCCTCACCCTGAACCTATTCTTTATTTGGCTTTTGGGCACCTTGACTAAGGGAAAACCAGCAGTGAAGCCTTATGGGCTTCACTGCAGTGTCCTACTGAGCATGTGCGAATTGTGCTGCGCACTTTGTGAATGGGCCACAGTCCTCTGGGACCTTGGAAGTGTCCCACAGGGTTGTGGGGGGGGAAGCAGCAAACTGAGCCCAGAATTGGGACTGGGTACCTGCTCCCCCCAAAAGGTGCCAAATGTGGCTTGGGAGGGAGGGGAAGGCAGAAAAGCCTTTTAGGTGGAACTCCACTTTAAGCTCTGAGAGGGTTAAACAGTTTCCAACCACGCTATAGCTGAAAGATGGCTACAGTACAGTCGTCCAGTTCTGGAAGGGCATCTATAGACGTCTTCCCAGAACCGTGCCCCCCCCCTGTGGCGCACATTGAGCGCGCTATGTAACCATTGTGTCCTTATCAGGGGCGGACTGACCATTTGAAAACTCGGGCACTGCCCGAGGGCCTGGGGTCAGTAAAGGGCCCCATGAGATGCCCCTGGTACCTTTTTCATAGGCTTTTTTGAGTTTGGGCAAGGACAGAGGGGCCCCATGATCCCCTATTGCCCGGGGGCCCCATGAGTTGTCAGTCCGCCCCTGGTCCTTATCACATGTAAATAGACTTTACTCTGTGTGAGAGAAAGGACAGCCAATAACTGGCAAGGCTATCAGTACAGCGTCTACACTAAGGGTACTGATTATCAGTGCCCTAATTATCAGTGCAGCCCCATCAGTACCAATCAGTGCAGCTTATCAGTGCCCCTCTTCTTTTCTCAGGTATGCCTTTCTCCTATTTTGACCCTGTGTTAGCCCGCTCACTTTAACTGCCTCTGATTAAAATCGAGTCCCTTCCCCTGCCAGATGAGGCGGTGCTCTGTAGCAGAGCTGTACAAGTGTCAGGACTGGATGGACATAAAAACAAATCATTTTAGATTTTTGATCTCTGTGTTTAGCGGCTTGCCTGCAGTTTCGTCTTTCATGTGATTATTTCCTATTTTAGGCTCTTCATGCATCGCCTGCTCATCCAGAAATTCCCTAACTTGTACCGGCTCATTAAGGACAATCCCTGCAAACTGCAATTGTGCGTCTGCTTACCAGATAATCACTATAAGTAAGTAACAAAAAGTAGGGTTTTTTTTTTTCCCTTTGGTTCAATCCCAGCCATAAGCGTGTGCAGGGGGTGTGCTTGGGCACACCTTAATCACCCCATGTGGAGCAGACTGCCCTGCTGCCCGGGCCCCCCACTGAGTACCAATAACTCACTGTGTTCATTCATAGCTGAAGCATAGTAAACTGTGTTTACTATGCATCAATTTGTGAATGAACAGGAAGCCTTTCAGCACAGAGCACTTCCCATTCATTCACTGTCCAGTGCAGCTAAGGCTACAGAGAAAGGAACTGGGGAATCTCTATCCTCAGTCTCTTACTCTGTCTCAAAAGTGAGACATCATGAGTCTGTTTAAATGCCTGATATTTCACCAAAGCTCCCAATGAGGCTCCTAAAATAACAAAAATAAAAATCTACTAACACTGTCCACTGCTCTATTGACACCACCTATGTTTTAACCTCTTCGCATCCAGCACATGCCGATAAACGGCCGGACAGGAACGCTATCAATGGGTGATTGCCTGTGCTCGCTCCCTGGGAGTGCACAGCGCTGTGATCTGTGGCCGATTCATGTGATCACTGATTGACCAATCGGTGATCTCATGAACAGTAATAAACAACATGTCACTTCCTGACAACATGGTGCACAATTCCTCCCACTGATACCAATGATGGGGCACTATTCCTCCCACTCTACAATGATGGGGCACTATTCCTCCCATTGACACCAATGATGGGGCACAATTCCTTCTACTGACACCAACAATGGGGCATAATTCCTTCTATTGACACCAATGATGGGGCAAAATTACTTCCAATGACACCAACGATGTTACACAATTCCTTCCATTAATACAACGATGGGGCACAATTTATTCCACTGACACCAACAATGGGGCACAATTTCTTCCACTGACATTAACGATGGGGCACTATTCCTTCCATTGACACCAACGATAAGACACAATTCCTTCCACTGATTCCAATGAAGGGGCACAATTTCTTCCATTGACACAATGGTTGGCCACTATTCCTCCCACTGACACAAACCATAGGCAACTATTCCTTCCATTGACACCAACGTTGGAGCAGAATTCCTTCCA